TTTACTCACTGTGAGTAAATATCGCACTTTACTCACGTTTTAGGTGTCACTGGGGATGGATTTTGGTTTACTCAGAAACTTGAGTAAAATTTTACTCATTGTTTTGCGTAAAACCTGCAGTTTACTCACTGTGAGTAAAAATCGCATTTTACTCACGTTTTAGATGTCACTGTGAATGCATTTTGTTTTACTCAGAAATTTGAGTAAAATTTTACTCATTGTTTTGCGCGAAACCTGCAGTTTACTCACTGTGAGTAAAAATCGCATTTTACTCACGTTTTAGATGTCACTGTGAATGCATTTTGTTTTACTCAGAAATTTGAGTAAAATTTTACTCATTGTTTTGCGTAGAACCGGTAGTTTACTCACAGTGAGTAAAAATCGCACTTTACTCATGTTTTAGGTGTCACTGTGAATGCATTTTGTTTTACTCAGAAATTTGAGTTATTTTTACTCAAACTTTGTGTGTCACTGTGAATGCATTTTTTTACTCAAATATTTGAGTTGATTTTACGCAAGGATTTTTTGCAGTGTAGCCACCAATATTTCTAGCGGGTCTTTGAAAGTGGACGGGTATTCTGCGATCGCTCCCTAGTCCAATGCTCTACCAACTGAGCTACGAGGTGAAGTTGTTAGTTGTTCACCAATAGATTTGTATTACTTGATTTGTATTTGACACAATGACACTTCAATACTTCATGAAGTTCATGCAAATGTCATACAAATCACCAACATGATGTCATGACGTCATTACATTTTTGCTTGAATATATATGTCGGAAATCTCCTTGTATTCCCTTAAATCTTCTTATAATAAATATAAGAATTAATTAGCCATTCCGAAGTTGATGAGTGGACTGGGGACGAATGTTAAAAAGTGCCCAAATTAAGAAATGAACCAAATCACTAAAACGACCACCTCAAAATTGGTAAGTATACAAAGTTTGAAGACGTTTACATGAATATCCTTCGAATAATAGGCTTTCGAAAATCGCGATATTTACTATGAAATGTATTGTAATTTTTGTTTTTGGGACGCGCGTCCCAAGACAACCTTTTAATCACTAATTTCACAATTTTCAAAAGCATATTACTCGAAGGGTATTCATGTAAACGTCTTCAAACTTTGCATACTTACTAATTTTGAGGTGGTCTTTTTAGCTATTTGGTTCATTTCTTAATTTGGGCACTTTGTAACACTCGTCTCATCAACTTCGGAATGGCTAATAAGAAGTTTTTTTCTAAAACAATTTTTATCCATCCCTATAACAGGTTGTTCGATGGCGACTCTTTACTTACAACAACTGGAGGAAGTGGTGCTACTCGTGTTAATACTGAAAGCACTTCAGTCAGTATTGGTGGATTTATTCAAGTCAAAAACTTTTTGACGGAAATTTATCCCGCTTTAGCTGCAACAAAAAATGGCCTTGATCAAAGATTTGTATATTCCTTGATAAAGCCAAAAGCATTCACACGTAAAGAAAGTGACCCATACGTTCGTCAACTCCATGCAGGAAGCGAATGTTAAAGATCTCTCACAAATATATGATGCAATATACAGAGATCACGAAGAAGGGGTTGAATATACCCTCACTGATGAAGCACTGAAAGCGTACGACTCATTCGACGAGAAAACATGTCAGGAAATAAACAGCCAGTGGGATGCTGGTGAAATTGCATCTTACGATGGTGAGATTGGAAAGGACCGTAAGCAGGTAAATTAACGGGGAGACACTGGCTGATATGTAGTATTGTTACCCATTTACTGTCAGTACTTTACCGCTGACGAGTAAAATTGACTGGCATTAGACAGAGTGAAATACATACTTGACTTGAGTATATGCATGGAGAACTTTAACTCATTGAAGTCTGTAATGCGAGAGTACTACCATACTAAATTAAAGAACATATACAATTGTGGTGATGCACAAAATTTGAAAACGATTTTCCCGAGATGTATTAGAGCAAGGACTTTGACAAACCCGATGACACGATGTTTTAGTCTCAACTCTCAAATCTCAATGGTTTAATTGTTATTTGTGTTATATTTGATAATTTGTCTCTTGCTGTTTTTGGCCAACAGTAATTGATTAAAGAAAATCTCCACCTATTTTATGTAATTTGCAACATATTCTGTGACTGATATGAGTCACCATGTTGAATTTCGATAAAATGGTCTTTTTTGTGAAATATAAAAGTCATTAATTTTTGCAGGTTCTGAGGCTCACTGTTATATTGTATGTTACATATACATATATGCGAAGAGCACTGTTTGCAAACTATGGACCAGTTTCAAGTGAGATAGATAATAATAATAATAATAATAACACTTTATTTATTGAGGATAAACAGATAAAGTTACAACTTTTTTCCAATCTGGTCCTCCTAAACTCTATATACACAACAACAATAACATTAAACATGACTATATTCAGTACTTCCTATAGGAGTATGAACAAATGAAATCATGGGTACATTGTAAAGTATTAACCAGTACTACAATTCAGTTGTTCATACCTCGAGAAAGCCCCAATTTACTAATTAGGCAATTTTCTAACTATGTCTAAATTATATTTACAGTACAGTATAACAAGTCGAAATACGCGTTGACACACAACTCACAAGTGTCTAAAGTGACATTATAAACATGACAGTATTTGCCACTTTCTCCATGTACGAACAACCGAAAGTAGATCATGCTCAGCTAAAACTGCAGGCATGAATTTCGGCAGTTCGTACATCAAGAAAGCAACCAACTTATAGTCTTAATAAAAGAGAAAACATGCAAACAAACAAACACTAAATGTTCTTAACAGCGAATACACTGTTACTGATACTTATTGGACTATATACTTATATTAAACAATTAATTACTGATGATATTTTTAGATATCTTAATAAAGCCTTATGCTGTTAAGTTTAGTTGAACTCACGAGTTTCTGACTAAAGTAACTCTTGCAATATGTGTTGAATGACGGCTGCGATGTTATTTTCTTTGCCTCTTTAGGGAAATTGTTCCATAAGGTAGATGCTATAAATGAAAATCGTCGTTTTCCTGCGTTAGATCTTGCTTTTGGGATGTGGACATTATTATTCGCAATAGCTCTTGTTGAATGGTGGTGGGTTGGTTTTTCCATGAGGGTGCTGAGGCATGGTGGACTGATGTTATGTATGCATTTGAACGTCTGTAGTAGGATCCGGTGGCGAATGGTGTCATGAATTGGGATAAGGTTGATTTCTTTGAATAAGGTTATTGATGGGATAGTGTAATCAGCGTTTAGTAGAATCCTCGCGGCACGTTTTTGGGCAGATGTTACACGTCCAAGAGCGTCTGTACTACAATTACCCCAAACGCTACAACAGTACTCGAGTGTTGGCTTTGCTATGCTGTTATAAAGGAGAAGGAGGAGCTTGGGTGTAAGGTAAGGTTTGGCTCGTTTCACAAGTTCAAGTTTGTTGTTGTATTTCTTGATAACGTGAGAAATATGGGTGTTCCATGTGAGTGAGTCATCCATGTGCACACCAAGTAGTTTTTCGCAGGTTGTTTGGGAGTTGGTGGTTCCGCAGATAGAAACATTGAGCGGTTCGTTGATGGTTGAAAGTTTTTGTCGTGATCCAATAAGCATGACCTTAGTCTTGTTGGGATGGATGGCCATTCTATTCTCGGAGGCCCAGTTACTTAAGTTGTCAGCACCAGTTTGTAGATGTGATCAAACGGTGTTGATGGATGTCCCTGACTTGACCAAGGTGGTGTCATCTACATAGATGTAGGAATTGCAGTCTTTGTTAACAAATGGTATGTCGTTGATGAATAAAATGAAGAGAAGTGGTCCAAGTGATGAACCTTGTGGAATACCGGTATGTACTGGTAGGAGATCTGAAGTTGCACGTCCGATGGACACTAATTGCTTTCGTTCCGTGAGATAAGACTTGAACCACTGGAGTGTTGAATCTTTAAGACCATAAATGGCAAGTTTCTGTAGTAGGAGGTCATGGCTTATAAGGTCGAACGCTTTCCGGAAGTCTATAAGGAGAATACCGCTGAGATTTCCTTTGTCCATATCATTAAGTAGCGAGTCTGTAAGTTGGAGTAACATTGTTTCACAAGAGTGGAAAGGTCGTGATCCAAATTGGGAACTGGTGAGCAAGTTGTGTTCTTGAAGGTAACCAAGTAGATGTAGACCATAAAAGCGCTCCAAGATCTTAGATAGCACAGACAAAACAGCGATAGGTTAGGTAGGATAAATTGATCCTATCAAAACAGCGGTAGGATAAATTGATCTTATCAATTACGGGCGTTCAATGGACCATTTGCATTATAGACTAAATTTTGATCTAGACAAAAATTTCATCACAGCTTGAAAGAGCATCACAAAATTAGTAATATTCCAAAGTTTCGTTGCGAAATGTTGTAAAATGCGGATAATATAGCCTTGCGAAATTTGCAATTTTCAGTCATTTTGTATTACAAACGGGAAATTGATGCCCCAACACCCGATTGGGCTGTCAATTTCCCGTGCGTAATACTCATATTCATGGATACTACATGTAAGATACCGCCAAACGAATCTCTGTGGAGTCCCCTACTTAAGGTGGCTTTTCGACTAAAAAATTACTGTAGAGTCCCTTTAAATAAGAAAGACGACGTGGTAGCCAATGTGTAACACTATGTGTTATCGCCTACGTGTTATCGCCAATCGCTTGGCTCGCCAACAAGCTTTATGCAATAGAAGAAAAAAGCAAGGAGGTACATGTAGCCAACGTGTACTGTCACGGACCTTGTTCACTGTCTAGCACAACGCCGTTGTCAACGGTGCAAACTCGTGTTTAGTGCAACGATTACTCTACCAGATCTTACACTGCCATAACTGTGAAACCATTGAAATTTAAAGTGACATTATTCAACAGATGCGAAAAGCTGAAAATAGAAACAACGTGACACTGGGAAAAGTCAAAGGTCAATGAGACTTGTTATGTGAAACATGTCACAATTAGGTTAAAATTCGGAAGCGGATGGAGCGGATCTACGGAACGGATATGCGGATAAAATACCGAACGGATGAAGATAAAATGCTTCCTTTCAATGATGTAACGACGTAGTGCTTATTATTCATAACATGTATTATATTTAAGAAATATAAAACATTTTCCGTGTTGATATACAGTTATATAAACACAAGTGGAATTGGGAAAACGAGAAATTGTATGGAAACACGACGCCCGAAGGGCGGAGTGTTTTCATACAATTTCGACTTTTCCCAACTTCCACGAGTGTTGATATAACTATATATCAATACGGAAAAAATGTTTTATATTTTTTTTATAATATAGCAACGTCAAAAACCCGAAGGATAAGAAAAATTTCCTTGTTTACAAGCGGCGGAAAATTTCCCGTATTGACATTGAGTTATATCAACACGGCTCTTAGCCAATCAGCGTTCAGAATTTACAAATGCTATATTATAAAGCTATTTCAAATATAAGTTTAGTATAGCAGTAGCCTCGTGGGGATGTTTTTAGCGACAAATGTAAATGAAAATTTAGAATATATGCAAAATTTGGTTGTTGGTGGAACAATTGAAATTTCGAATTGTCGCGTGTAGCATCACAATAAATAAATTGTATCCGTTTCACAAGGCACGTTTCTGATATGTTAGGCTTGTTTCAAACGTCACGCTACTCGTGTGCCGAGCGCATTCAAAAAGCAATAGATATTAACGAGATGAAATGCCTTTGGTAATTGTTTATTTCGTAGTGTAAGCCATCAGCTTTTCTAGGTTGTCAGCAACCCCTATATAGTTATTTGCAGTGTCTTTTTCAATTGAAACTTCACACTATCCTTGGATCCCTTGTTTTATTTTTTGTATAATAAAAGCTTTTAGCGGTGAAATACAGCATGCAAGATTTGAACATAGGTCACCAGACAATATAGCGCATTGTTTTTCTTAACTGGAAAATTCTAATGACGTCAGCAATTGACATAAAACTCTATAGAGCACTCACAATGACGTGAGATGGCGCAAGCAACAGCTCACATCACGTCCTTTTAGACCGCTGAAACTGAATCTTATCCAATCACATAAAAAATTATGCAATCACGTGCGAATATTAATAAATTTGAAAAATAGAAAATTAAGAAATTTGCATTGTATTTCTTTTTGCACTATATATCATTTGTTGTCACTGTATTTAAAAAAAAATTGAACTGCTCTTAGCCAATCATTTCATGCTTATTATTATTCAGATATATAGCGACCATATCTTTTACACTGCAACTATTCATTTGATATACATGTGTACTGATTCATAACTAATATCTTACTAAATTTCGCAGATTTTGGACTCTCCCTCAGAAACAACAAAGGATGTTCCAAACGTTGCTGTCAAAATTAAAATATTGGAACATGCTGGTCCTGTTGTTAACTTGAGGACACTTCGCAACAAATACAACTCAAGCAGCAGACCAGCAAAGGATGTAATTGAAGATGCAATGGCGGATCTGCAAGATGAAGGGCTAGGTGATTTTGTCAACAATGGCAACCTTTCTGGATTCATAAAACAGGTGCCCACCGAGGTACAGCCGGAGAGTTTGACACCATACAAATTGTCGACTGAGGAATATACCAGCATGTACTGTCGTAAGAATTACGACTTACCCAATAACCTCCGGAGGTTATTGCTATCAAAAAGTAATTTGGAAGAAAATGTAGCCAATTATTTCGACGAAGAAGAAAAAGAAAACATTCCCACTTGTTAATCACGGTTACAGATCTAGGTGTCACAGTAGAATGTAATCTACATGTTAGAGTGCAGATTGGTGAACTATTCGCTCTCTACTAGTCATGTGAACTATTCGCTCTCTACTATTCTGCATGGTTCTAAAATAAACCTGCCTAATCAACATCTCGCAATTGTTTAGGCACTGGGACTTGGAAACCAATCATGAGCTTGTCTTCCTAGCCATGTCTTACATGATTACAGGACGTTATTGTTATTCATTGATATTGAAAAGATTTGATGGCTATACAGTAAAACCCTGGGTATAAGAACCTATATTTTTCCATGGAGTAGAACCTATATTTTTCAATTGGAATAATTAAACAGGTTTTTAACTAGGGTAGGTACCCATTTCCAGACAAATTGATAAATTTAACTCCTAATTGTTTCCATTACTTTATGAATAGATTATTATCTTTGATTTATAAAGTTTTATAATTAATTCTTTTTGTCCTTTGATAAAATAAGGAACTCTGGAACTTTATCCTACACAGGTTCTTAATATGTAAGGGGTCTACACGAATCGAAAATTTTAACAGGTTCTTAAATTATAGGTCCTTATATGCGGGGTTTTACTGTATGCAAGATATACTTTAGTTGGGTTTTAATGTTGTGCATTGATTTAATACTATTCTCTATTTACATGAATGGGTGTGGGCTACCTGGATTCAGCGATGGAGGATTATATTGGCCGCTGCGGTGGTTTTCATTTCAGCTTGATAGCTTGATGTAAATAATATGAATGGTCCTGTTTGAAATTTGTGCAATTCGTTATTGTTATTTTACATCTACATTTAATAAAGGTGCAATTATCATCAGCTTTTGATCTCTTAATAAATATATTTTCCCGTAAGTTGGTATATATATATATATATATATATATATATATACACATAAACAAATACATATATACACATACATATATATACATATATATATATATATATATATATATATATATATATATATATATATATATATATATATATATATATATATATATATATATATATATATATATATATATATATATACATACATATATATATATATATATATATATATATATATATATATATATATATATATATATACCGGGTGGCGCAAAAAAAAGTTCACGCGTTTGATTTAGTACAGCGAAAAAACTATAAGTGTTACGTTCCTCAAATAAATGTTATCCTATCCAGGAATGCCTAACTTAAATTTTGATGTATAACACATGCATTTTTGTTTAGTATTACCCAAGATATTGGTAAATCAATTTGAATATGCAATTTCAAAACGTTCCAAAATTAGCTGAAAATAGCCTATTAAATACGAGTAAAGGAATTAACGATATATGAAGAACACAACGGAAGTAAATAACGCGTTTATCATGGAAAATTAAATAACTATATTCTTGCACGTGTGACCATACTATCGAACGAATTAACGTTGGATTTATTTGCTGGTCAAAGTTATGGCAATCAGCAATAATCGCTTCACGAAGCTGTCTCAAATTGTTCGGTTGTTGATCTAATTTAATTCCCTGTAGCTATGGGACATGGAATACTGCGAAGCAATTCTTAATTAAAAGAGCCATCTTTTTCGAAATTTTGTTGCTTTTCAAATGATAATAAAACAAATAAATAAATAAGGAAAATCATTCGTTACACGTTTCAATTCAAATTAAATTCATACAAGCGAATATATCTGACGAAATTCTAAAATTTATCAAAACAGTTTAATAGGCCATTTTTAGCCAATTTGTCAGATTTTCAAAACTTCGTTCCAATTTTTATTTGGCGATATCCCAGTCAATATTGCACGTAAATAAACATGCTATAGCTCAAAATTTAAGTTAGACTATTATGAATACAGCTACGTTTATTTCAGGGATGTAACCCTTATAGATTGTTCGCTGTACTAAATCAAACAGTTATACTTTTTTTTGCGCCACCCGGTATATATATATATATATATATATATATATATATATATATATATATATATATATATATATATATATATATATATATATATATATATATATATATATATATGAGAGAGAGAGA